CTTGAACGAGTCATTCAAGCAGATTAGCTTCCTCTGCACGTACTAGTGAACGTGAAGTTTCGCAGCACTTCAAGCAAAGGGTGACCCATTACACCTGGTAGCACTTTGTAGTCCGTCCAACCACTGCTTAGTGTCCGGCTAACGTGAACATGTTGGACGTAGAAAACGACAGATTTCACGTCACACGTGAAGGCTACTCCCATCTGAGTGACTCAGATTGAAAGGTAGTCGGCCGCATGAGTGTGCTCATCGGCGAACTCGCCATCAGTGGTATGATGGAGTTTTAAGCAGAGACCAGCAACATGCTGCTATCAACAAGTTCCTACAAGGGGAACTTGCCATCGAAAGACAAAAGGTAGCTTTGCTACAGCAGCAAGGCTCTCATCAGTAGATGGGTGGGCCGACGCACATGCGTCAACCCGAAACCTTGAAGTTTGATATATTAAGGTATGAGGGAACCGATGAAGATTCCCTTTTGAGATGGTTCGTCGAGTCAGAAGATGCCACAAGGGCCCGTCACATCAACTGTGACGAGATGCAAGTCACCTCCTTCCTGTCACATTTAACGGGACGAGCAAGGACTTGGGTCTTATGGCTCAAGCTTTATGACCCAACCGTGTTTACGTCGTTGGAGATTTTAATGTCTCGGCTCAAAGAGACGTTTGAGCCGCCGAGAGCCGAGTACAGAGCACACTCTGCACTCTTAAGGCTAAAGCAAGGCAAGCGTGATGCGCGCGCTTACGCACAACACCTCCGCTGCCTTGCGTGTAGCTTCACGGAAAACCCTGTTGATGATCACACGCTCATGAACGTGCTCATCTACGGCCTTGTAGACGGGCCGGTGAAGACCTACATGTTCCGAGAGGACTACCATAACCTGGAAAAGGCGACAGCGTATGCGGAACAAGAAGACTTCAGCCTGAGACAGTCTCAGGCTAACTCTTCAAACTATCGTCCAATGAGACGACAGAAAACAGGAGTTCCCGCACCAATGGACCTCTGTTACATCGAGAGGGAGAACTCTCGCTCTCTGAGTCACAAGCGAACGGCAAGATGCCACCGCTGTCAAAAAATTGGACACTACGCTCATGAATGCAGTGTCCCGAGCACTGCGACACGTCCGAAAACAGGATGTGATGACCGCCGTTGGCCAAGGAAGGGTCCGAGGCGTGGGTCCGACCATGTCGCAAAGCCGCAACAGCAAGTTGGCCCGCCAAATAAAATGGTCAGGGTCAGTAGGGGCGGAGGACCCAGCTAATTCAGCAGCTTCAAGAGAATTTGCAGGACTCTTGACGAAGATTTCTCCCAACACACAGTCGCTGTGTGTTACTGCCCTTAGTGTTGAGGATTCTCTTATCACTTTGAAGATCGAAGTGACAAGTAGAATGTCACTTCGCGCCCTAGTTTACTGTGGTGCGTCGAACAATTTCATCCGACGCCAGCAGCTAGAGGACAGTAGTCTCATCTATGCTGAGCGAGAGTTCCCTCCAACGAGGAAGATGATTTGCCTTGCTACAGGCGCATCCGTAACAGTGTCACAAACTTGTAGTGGGAATCCACTACACGCTAGAAAGAAGAATTACGATGATGACTTCATTGAACTCGATCAGGAGGACAAATTTCGATGTCAACCTCGAATTGCCATGTCTAAGAAAATGCCAGCCAGGGATCAGCTGGCAGCATCGATCCGTGAAAATGTCTGCCGTTTGTTCATCAGATCGTCGTCTGATGAACGTCTTGGAGCATCCACAAGCGTGTGGATGCACTACGAGTGAGTGCGATGACCTCACTTGTGGTACGGTTGTTAGTATGACTGCACAAAGATCACAATGTAGATGGCCACAACACTGTGGAACCAGCTTCCAACACCTGTGTAGAGACACGAGCTGAACCGAAGGTTCACCACTCGAAGAGATCGAGTGTACTGGAACACGTATGCACCCTAAGAAGGGTGCATCCAAAAAGAGAGATTAGTGTTGTTCAGGATGAACAACTTTGAAGCGAGATCGACTAACAGAGAGTCGATCGCAAAGCAAGCCCGATCGACTGAAAGAGAGTCGATCGAAGAGGACGTGACTGTGGTAGTGCACCCGTAGTCAGAACACGAATTGAATAATAGCTCCAGCGTTTTTGAGAGTGATAAACTCCCGAGAAAGTTACATTAAGAGCGTGTTTCCCGAACCACCTGCGGATGTGTTTTCCCAGGAAACCACCGAGACAGTAAATGTCTTTGTTAATGACGGATCAAGTGTAAGCCTTATACACTTGATCTAATTATACCTCCGAAATCAGCTTTGGAGGTAATCAAGTTGTCAACGCTAAAATCTACAAGATTCTTGCGAGATCTGCGTAGTGAAAAGATTATCAGATCTGCGTACTCGTCACAGAGGACGAGTACGTCGCCGATATTCGGTCGGCACATGTGTTCACGGAAAACGAACGGATTCTCAGTAGCTCGTCGATGAACGAAAGTTTTTTTCGATGTGAAGACCTGGATTAAACGATACACGTCTCAATCTTAAGATGATTTGAAGACAAATCCTTTGTATAAGGATTTGGTGGAATTCAGGGATGTTTTCCTGAAATCCGTGCAATGAGTGTTATCGGAGTACAAAGGCACTCGGCATGAGATCGAACTGAAACCTGGTTCAAAATACTGTGTCATGAAGTAGTGGCCACTGCCTCGTGAACATGTCACATCGATCGACAAGTTCTTTGCCGATCGTTTAGCGGCTGGTCATGTGAGGGAATCAACATCTCCACACAGATCTTTGACCTTCTGTGTGCGAAAGGCCACAGGAGGGTAGCGGATAGTGCACGCAATCAGCAAATTAAACGCTACGACGGTACCGGATCAAACGCCTACACAGAGGAAGGACGTCATCATAGATGGTATGACAAAATGTACCATCTTTTCGTCCATGGATCTGATGGATGGATTCTATCAGATCCTCATGCGTGACCAGGACAACCCGTACATAGCAGTGAGCACCCCCAGTGGTATGCTCTAGCAGTGGATAGTGATGACACAGGGACTAAGTAACGCCCCTGCAACGTTCAACAGGTGTGTTACAAATCTATTGCGATCGGTGCGCGATTTCGCACCGAGTTACTTCGACGATGTCTTCGCCCATAGCCGGGCTATGGATGGGATGAAGGACGTGGAGGTTCATAGAATTCACTTCCAGAAGGTTCTTACACCAATACGAGAGCATAAGTAGCTCGCGAACCTCAAGAAATGTATATTCGGAGCCAGCGAAATACCACTTCTTGGCTGTATCGTGGGTAAAAATGGCGTACGCTCTGATCCGGAAAAGGCCAAGGCGATCAGCAACTGGCCTGTGCCAGTTGAAGTCAAGGGACTTCGAAAGTTCCTTGTCTTGGCGGCGCACTTGCACAAGTACTCGCGCAACTATGCCGAGATGACCGTACATCTCTCTCGTCTGCCAAAGAAAAACGAAAGGTGGTCAAAAAGCGCTGAGTGTCAGCACTCTTTTGAAGGCATCAAGAAAAACTTGGTGCAATCGCCTGTGTGGTTGATTGCAGACCAGGATAGCCCATTCCATGTGGTCTGTGATGCCAGCGACTTTGCAATTAGCTGTGCGTTATTGCAGTACGACTCAGACGGAGTTGAGCGCGTCGTCTGTTATCAATCGCGTCAGCTGCAAGCAGCTGAGCGGAATTATCCGGTTCATGAAAAGGAACTCCTTGCTATGAAGTTTGCACTGGCTAAGTTTCGGGTGTAACTCTTAGGAGATGGGCCCTTCATCATTTATACCGATCATGCGTCGTTACGCACGGCCGTAAACAGTCCACACCTCTCGCAACGAATGGCGAGATGGCTGTCTTTCTTCGCGGATTTCAACTTCTTTATCTAGTTTAAGCCAGGACGACTTGAAGTCGTCGCTGATGCTCTTTCGCGTCGGTCCGACTTCGAGCCGACTTCTCAACCCAACAGTAGGGGTAATACCACTATCGCGACACTAACACTGAGTGTTCCGTCGTCGAATCTGCTCGATGACGTGCGAAAAGCATACACAGAAGATGAGACTCTTCTGCGGTTGATGGATTATGTATCTAATCCGTGTAATTAAGCTTTAAAAAGCTTGTCGTCTCAATACCGCTCTTGAAATGAACGGTATTTGGTTCGTGATGGACTGCTGTACTATACAGCAGTCAACGGCGACACACCTCGTGTCGTCGTTCCCGCTCATAATGATATGCGACTGCGCATCATGTATGAGTGTCACGATGCCCCGACAAGTGGGCATCGCGGTAGAGAATAGACTTTTCTCATGGTGAGTCGTGACTTCTACTGGCCCCGCCAATATTAGTTTGTGCGCTAGTGCATTCGCGCTTGCAAAGTTTGTCAACGGGTGAAGCCTAGTCCTTCATCCCGCGCACCCTTACAGCCTCTTCCGATTCCGGCAGAGTGTTGGCAGTCCGTATCGGTGAACTTCGTCTTCGAGTTTCCCAATTACGTTCACAAGAATACTGGTATTCTTGTGATTGTTCATCGGTTCAGCAAGATGGTGCATCTTGTTGCTGTACCGGATTCCATCACAGCCCAGGGCTGTGCGCGTGTCTTCATCAATACTGTCTTCCTACTTCACAGGTTATTCCGTAAACTCGTGTTTGATAGGGACTTCCGCTTCACATCGAAGTTCTGGCAGTCCGTCTTCCGTTCACTTGGAACACGCTTGACGATGTCGACTTCTGACCATCCAGAAACAGATGGTCAGACGGAACGCGTCAACTGCGTTCTCGAAGAGATGCTTCGAAGGTATGTACACTCGTTTAAGAGCTGGAGTGAGTTCTTGCCGATGGCGAAATTCGCCATGAACAACTCGGTGCATGCGTCGACAACGCATACACCATTCTTCGTGAATGGCCTACGCCATCCACGTTTACCCGCCTTCTTCGAGTGTGACTCTAGATTAAGGGGGGGGTGGACTCGCTCGAACAAAAACCAATCTGGTTCTTGCTCATCACCCGTCGACATGATGGATGCCAACGTCGGTCACATCGATTTCGGTGGTGATGATAAAGACGATGCTGGTATATTCAGAATCGCCGATGACTGCCACAGTGAGGAAGATGACGCCGTCACTGTTGAAAATAACGTTCTTTCAGCAGTGCACACGAAGCGCACTGCTGTTGACAAGGATGAACCAGAAGAGGAATTTCTGCTGACTCGCGAAGTGGTTGTCCGCTTCGTTCAAGACTCTATTGCAGATGCATTAAACAGACAGAAATGAAACCTAGACAAGCATGGAAGAGCAAATGTTCTTCCATTTAACATAGGGGACCTAGTTTTACTATCTACAGTAAACTTACCAAAACACGCAGTGACAAACGTGGGCAGCAGTAAATCAATGCCTAGGTACATCGGTCCATTCCGTATATTGCGCTGCATGGGCGACGCAAACACGATTAAACCGCCTCATAGAATGTGTGTGCGTCCTACGCTTTACGTTAGATGTCTCCGCCCGTACTATCAGTACGAGCCCGTTTCGAGAGGCGAAGAACACCTCCGCGGTCGAGAGCCGAGACCACCTTCGAGTGGTCCCGTTTCAACGAGCCAGTCTGGTCGACTAGTAAAGCGCCCGCTCACGCAGTTGAGCGATGTTATGACGAGCTGCAGTCAGATCGTGACGAAGGTCACGAAATGAACGTTCGTCTTCAAGCTGCACAAACGCAAATGCGGCACGATTGCTTAAACGATCGTGCGTTAAGAAATTGTGATAACATTTTTCAAGGTCATGGAGCTCATAACGCCGAGTTCGTTCATACGCCAGGTCGTTGTGTAACTGATCCGTTACACGGTTCAGTTCCTGAAAAACAAGCTGATCCGATCCTCGCGTCGGATCAGTTGTTCCTGCCCCCACCACATCCAGTGGTGGATCCTGGCAATGGTCAACATATTCTGGTGAAGCGTATTTCAAAACACCGCGACGTGAAGGGAGATTGGACGAGTTACCTCGTCCGCTGGCGTGGCTATCTACCTGCCTGGGACATCTGAGAGACTAGTGCCCAGCTGATTGTTGATGTTCTGGGTCTCGTCGAGCAAGATGACGAGACCCACCTACTGCGTTCGAAGAAGGGCCGTCGGAAATGTACTCCCCGAACACGACTACAGGGATTGCAAAGTGTCGATCTCTTCGTTATCTCAGAAGAGATGCGCGCCCTCCAGTAGGTAACATTAGGGAGGTAAGCCTCCCTATGGGCACGATTCGATTTGTCCAAGCAACTCAAACATACATAACCCATCGAGCGATTGGGTAACCCTGCCTCTTTTGACAGTCGGTGCAACTTGTATCGTACACCGACTGGGTAACGCTTCTCAAGCCTGATGCGAGCTGTATCAAGTTTATCGAGCCAGACCTCACGGCCAATGCACTCGATGCTATGGATGAAGGCACTACATCCTTGCAATAAGGCCTTACCGTCTCGTCCGCGGTTGCCATTGTACCACCGATGTTTGAAGAACACATCGATGAAGAAATCTTTCTCAGCACGGATAGGTTCCGTGCTGTAATTATGAGGACATATCCTGCTACAGTCGAACAACGGGATGCGATCCCGTTCGGTGGTCACACCGGCCTATTAACAAACTCCTAGAATGATGGCATCCAAGGAGACTTCACTTGAGGAGCATGGCGCACAACATTGCGGTCCCTGGTCTATTGTGTGGTGTCAGTATGAGCACTGACACCAGTAGCAGCTCGATTTCTTAAGTTGCTTCTCTCAGGGTGACGCACCTATGCGTCACCGCCATCACCACGCGTCCTATCGTCAGATGGACTTGCGTGAGATGGAGATTCGTCTTCAAAATCGCTCGCTCAAAAGACCTCGGCCATGATGCCGCCACGTTCCTCAGAGCCAGTCAACCTGGCTCTCGCAGTTCCCCTCCCGGGCGATTCGGATGCAGGGGGCGCCGCCTTCGATTCGGACGCAATATCCGACTCGTAGAATAGATGAGCTCTATTTCAGGCTCATCCACATTGCGAATCGCAGCACCCTGCAGACGTAGCGGATGTATCTGTCGCACGTAGTGATTCACCACGTGGACAAGTCACAATAGGCACTGCATGTTGCTGAATCACAACATTAGGCGAAGGATCACCTGCTACTGAGGCTTGAGTAGTGCTTCTCGGCTGCACGAATGCGTGCAACCGCCTTTCTGGCTGCTTCGTCAGCGCACCGCATGGGGTTTGACACCATGCGATGAATTGGAAAATGAGTTGGAATTTGACCAACAAGTGCTCCCCTCCCCATAGTGATCCAACGGTTATCATTTTGTCCCCGATTAGTTTGATTTGATCAACGAGTTTGATGGTTAAGGGGAATGATGTATCGGGGTAGCCCGTTACATGATATTGGCACCAAAAGATGTCAATAGGGAGATTTTCTAGCGTGACAATTCCCTGCCAACATTATCCGAGGTGGATAAAATTGAAGGGGCATCATCCTCTTCGGATAATATCCATGCGCTGTGCAAAGATTGGTTGGTAAAAGACATGTCAACCAAGATAACCACCAATCGCTGCTAGACGCGCGTAATGAGTGGTGAGCAGGTTGTCGTCATACGACGACGAATTTAGAAGAGTTAGATAAAGACTGAAGTGATATTGATAGCTTAACTGTGAAAAATACAGTTTTCTTTTTCCATTACGTAAACGGTTCGTTTTAGTAGATGAGCTTCCTCTGCACGTTCTAGTGTACGTGAAGTTTCTTGGCACTCAAACCAAAGGGTGTCCCGTCACGAAATACGTAACACTTCCTGGCCGCGAGGGTGGATGGATGATGGTGGGCGTGCACGTCTGCGAGTGATTTGTTTTTGTGTTGTAATAATTGTTTATGAAACAACAGATTTGTCGAGACGATTTGTTGGTCTCGATAGATTTATGATGTTGCAAACAAGTTTGTAAATGTGGTTAATGGGGGTTGTAACGGGGCACCCTTTGTCTGGGTGCCACGAAACTTGACGTACACTAGTACGTGCAGAGGAAGCTCATCTACTAAAACGAACCGTTTACGTAATGGAAAAAGAAAACTGTATTTTTCACAGTTAAGCTATCAATATCACTTCAGTCTTTATCTAACTCTTCTAAATTCGTCGTCGTATGACGACAACCTGCTCACCACTCATTACGCGCGTCTAGCAGCGATTGGTAGCATCTATGGTTGATGTGTCCTAAATCAACCAACCTTGGAGCAGCGGATGTATACTATCCGAAAGTGGATGGTGCCCCTTCAATTTTATCCACCTCGGATGATATTGGTAGGATGTTGTCTTGCGAGACAATCTCCCTGTTGACACTGTTTAGTGTCAATATAACGGCCTACCCCGTTACAAGGGTTCTGTGAACACATCTGATAAACTCGGTTTGTCGGGGTTTTGGTGATCACCCAGGGGTGCCACGAAGAAAGTATGGAGCAAATTAGGCATGAACAATATTTACGACCGAACGGTGCATCACGACTGTATAGTCGAGTCGTTTCCTGCAAGATCCTTGACAATATTGAATTCGTCAAACACCTTTCCCGTGGCAGCCTCAACGAACGTTACTGTCAAAGTTGACGGAGTTACGGTGATTGTGGTGATGCCAAAGTGTGTGGCGTCCAAGTGAGCGATCCATTTCGGTTTTGGTTGCTTCTCGTACTGGGTCAAACCTTCGGAGTTACCGGCGGAGCCCGCGATAACATATACAGGAGCTCGTGGATTAGTGTACAATCTGCCTTTTTCTGATACCCCCTCCATGACCGGTTTGCTGTTAGCTGTCGGGTAGAGTCGCTCGTAGGAATGCACGTGGCCGTGGTACACCAGATCCACTTCGTACTTGATCAGGAGCTGCTCAAATGCCTTTTGCACTTTCAACGCCTCAAACTTGTTAGTGGGCACACCGTTAGCATCGCATGACCGCATCGTGTAGAGAGGACGGTGCATGCCAACAACTATCCAGGGCACTTTGTCACGGTTGGCATGGGCGGCCTTCAGATCGGCCTCTAGCCACCCCAACTGGTTGCCGAAATTCCCGTACGTTCGCTGAGTGTAGTAAGCATTTGTCGGTGCATCCGGGAAGTCGGTCTCGGAGGAGATGGTCGTAAAGTGCACAGACGCGTAGTCGAACGAGTACCACATGTTAAGTACGCCGCCGCTTTCCGGTGACGGCATCCGAAAGCGCGCGTTAAAGGCGCTGTAGTTGCCAAGCTGATCCTTCAAGGACTTTGATACCAAACAAGTCGGCGAGTGGCATTCAGCCTCATGGTTACCAACGACGACCATGTACGCCATGCGACGCATGACAGCGGTGAGCGAGTTCATGTACTTGTTCCAGATCTCTTCGTAAAAAAAGCCGAACGCAGTCTTTGCAGTCAAGAAGTCGTTGTCGGCGTACGAAATGTCGCCAAGATGGTAGATGAACTCGGCCTTGCCATTCAAGCCATTGACGAACTTGTTAGTTGCGATGGAGTTTGTTTCCGTGCCCATGTCTCCAAAGACCGCCACGACGAACGGACTTGTGTCACCACTGGAACGGGCCGTCGTAAACGAGCTTACAGCGCTTTGGAACTTCGCAGTCGCAGCACTGCCTACCTTATAAAAGTATTCAGTGAATGGATCGAGATCGGTCACAACAGCGTGGTGGCTGAACAAAGTGTAGCCCTTCGTCTTGAAGTACTGCTTGACTTCAATCGTCGCAGTCTTTACTAGAACAACGTCGCTTTTGCTCGATCCGATCCACACGGCAGGATCACTCACGGGCGCAAACGTAGTCCAGGAGATCGCCATACCGGTGCCAGCCTCCTTTCCGGCGAAAGCCAAGTGAAATTGCTGTGGGGTTCGAGAGTGGTCAGTGTTATCAGTCACTCGGCATGCTTGAGATGCCGTCACGTCACCAAATTGGTACTGAATAGAGCACTTGTCTTTCGGCTCGCAGCTCAACGAAGACCACTTGTATTCACACGTTCGGTCGTCGATGTACTTCGTCTCTGCCTGTCTACCGGTGGTGTCATCATCCGAGAAAAAGTTGTGGAGTAAAGCTTTGAAGCCCAAAGACTTGACCAACGAGATAGAACTCAAGGCGATTGCGCAACCCAATGCGAGCTTGAGAGCAATGTGGACTCGCATTAGTGTTCACGTGGGACTTGTTGTCTCAGAGCTGTCCAACAAAAGGGAAAGTGTTAATTTGTCCCACGATGTCGAAGAGAGACTTTCAGGTATTAGAGGGATCACGTCGACGAGGGAATCTCCTACTTGGTGCTCTACACGACCATCCCTTTGTGCTTGTGGCTGATTGTAAAAGGGGGTACTTGCACCGAATGTCCCTATGATTTGTCGTGTGGAAAAAGTCCTTCCCAGGGCGTTACAGATGGACATAGCACGCCGTGAAAGTCATGGTCGTCGTAGCAGCTGGAACCCGGCTATACCACATCGTGTAGCATCGTGTTCATTCTCTTGGCTGACAGGCGGGAAAAGGCAAAAGAACCACAAGTTCCAGTCACAATGCAACGTTCGAGCAAACAGCGTGCAACAAGCTGTTCGAACACAAACCTGCTTGATTATATTCCCTGGTATACGCACGATGAGCACAGTCCTATAGGCCGTAGTCAACGGAAGCTCGCTTGCAGGGTCTTTAGCAGCTTGATGAAAGTACCACCTTGATGGGATAGTCCTGTCGAGTCCAACAAGTCTCTCACTACGTTCCAATTTCCACGTTGTAAGCAGCTCAATATACCAAATCGACAACACGAGACATCCGAGACCCCTGACTGCTTGCCGGTGTCGGGAACGATTACTGATGGACTAGCGGCAGCATTTGCGTGCCTACAGTCGAAGTACGATACAAGGCTAGCCGTACGGCTCATGTGGACAATCAGGCCTGGAGCGCGTAAACATCAGAAAAAGACAGTGCATCGACAATTTCGATCGTACCAACGAAGCATCTTCACTGACTAACTTTGGACGTTTTCGACAGCCTGCATGTATGCCACTGCACTGTTGTAGACTCAAAGCCAACACATGTGAGCACCAGCTGGCACGCAAACGTGACTCGTTGAATCGTTCGTCTGTCCACTTCCAGCTTCGCTTTGGTAGAAAGTCTACAGTTGCAGGGAAAACAAAAGACGACACAAAGATGCATTCCTATGTTTACCGTCTTCGACCAACGAAAATGTAGCGCGAACGACCGCGTAAAGGGTGCTTCAAATTTGTGAAACGTATGCGACGGTGGCGTAATACACATGTTGCTTCATGCAGTCCCGCCATCCGGTAGAGTGCACACTAGAATTTAACCCCAGACTTGGTCAACGGACTGAAATACGGGCCTTTTTGGGAGTGCCCCGCCGTTACGCCTGATGTCTTGAGCCAGCAGAATGAGAAAGCTAGGAGTAGAAAAACGTGTCATGGCAGAGGACAAGAGGTGGTCACCACACAGTCATTGTAGAGGACAAGATGTGGTTACCACACAACCAGACATCTTATCAGTAATAAGTAGCCATAATCGACAGTCTGAGCCTCTCACAAGTTGCTCTACATGTTGACAGCTACACCTACGTATCACGCGCGGGCATGCAAGTATTGGCTAGAGAGACATGCGTCAGACCACACGACCAGTCGAATTATCATAGACCAACAAGCTTTCGCTGAAGGTTACGCACGATACGACTTCGAGGACATCAAATTTACAACGCAACAGTCATCAAGAACGAAAAAACTAAAACGTCTGTCAGACCACCCCGGTTGAGTGAGCCGTCTCTGAGGTTTAGGTAGCTGGGTATGTGGATGGAGTTGTGTGATTAGCATATGCGTTGCTGTCTCCATCTGTTTGGTCCATTCGCAACGCCCATACCCTACGATAGACAAACTCTGTGATCGATGAGTTTTTCTATCGTAGGGCATGGGGGTAGCAGAAAACATTGTCGTTCAAAGGGTGAATCAAGCTTCCCTTCCGTGTTCCGTCCGATTATCGCTGAGCTTCCCGGAGGTATTCATCTAAGTCTCAGCAATTAAAAAAGAAAATTCTGCTTCAAAAAGTGAGCTATCATAATTGGGAATGTATTGTTAGTAGGGATCAAATGGTCTGGTTACGCTTAGCTCATGATGTTTTCCACGAAGGTGAGTGAACACACAATCTTGCTGCTTTACAGACACACGTTCACGGAAAGCAAAGCGTGATGACACGATAACAATCGTATTGGCAATACAGTCACACGCCGTCCTGAAGCGAATCAATTCGGACCACTTGGACGTCAGCAATGACGTACCCTCGGATCATTTCGAGTCTTTCACAGCCGTCAAACCCTTAAGTCACGAGTATTGCCAGTGACGATAGCGGACAGTTGCTATCAAAATCCCTCAACGACCGCAACACTACATTTACTTGCAGGCTGCATTTTTGCGAAGGTGCGAGTTAGATAACACCATGCCCTCGGTCACGCAGGTTCATTCTTTCGACCAGTTGTCTGCACCATGGCATTTTGAATACCGAGACAACTGATTGCCGTTCGTAAACTTAGCCCTCGATCGTAATTTGACGGACTCACCTCTGTCTGCAAACATCAGTGTTGGATCTCATTTACTACATATCCGTCAGAAACACGTTACGAGAAATGGTGAGCTTCTTGACTGGAATCACGAGAACCTTTCGCTTCCAGCTTTGTCCAGCCTTTACACTTGTTTGCACTTTCCCACACTAGGCTCCTTTTAAATTCAACGACTTGTACTACTTTAGGTTCAATTAACACTTCAGATTCAACAGACATGACTTAGACTCAGTAAGCTTAGGAAACGTCACACTGAAGAGGTGACGCGCAAGCTAATGGCTCAGAGGTAAGCAGTCTACTTCGCGGTAGTATTAGACAAAAATTATCTGTGCAGCATGCCTACCAGGTTGTGTTTTTAGGTCAAAATACGGCTCAAAAGATCGTGGTGCCGAAAACATAGCTCAAATATATCGTGGTCCGTGTGCGTCGACAAAACTTGCCGTGGTGAAGGTATCAACAACTGTCTGCTTCGGCGTCGTTGGCTGCTATACTGGATCCATAAAATTGAATAATGGAGAAAGGGGGAAAGTCTATAGCGTCGTCCTGAGAAGCCTTAAGCATCTCGACGTGACAATAGGATTCTCTACCTTATCCGGTAGTTTCCCACCGCCTAGTCAATAACCTGCCGGTGTTTGTCATGACCATCGTCACAATCGAAATGAAGATGAAAGACTTGTCTCGGAATCGCAAGAACAAAGTATCGGGACGTTGTGATCCGATGCTTCTTTCATATTCTCCCTCCCCTAGCTTCGTGAATTCGATAATCAATTCGTCCAGAATAGAGAACACCATAAATGAGACTTAAATCTATTTGACCACGTCATTCAAACAAATCCCAAAAGTAAGAAAAACGAAAATTGTCGATTTGTTCGCCCAGCTTTCTTCCAAAGGCGGCGGATTAGTACTGTCCCGTCAGCCGCCGAAAGCAAGTTCACTCCTCCCAGCCGACAAGACTTTCCGATAATATTGGCATCTGGATACCATGGAGCAACAGCATTGACCAGTAGATGTCATATCTATCTATCGGAGATCTTATAAGGACCGTAACGGAATTCAAATTTATACTGCCTACTTTGCCTATCATAAGCTATATGTGTTGCTTATCTAAAGGCTGTTTTCTGGGACAAGATTCGTCTTCTTAGCGGAAAGTTCAGGTAAAGTAGGTGTCAAAACTTGCGCGAGAAGACCTTCAATACTGAAAAAATTAAAATGGCAAGGCGAGGTAACATTGAGATACTCGGGAGTCCATGATAGGCATGAGTACTAATAACTACGCTACTATAACCACTATTTAGGATACTTCTGGAGGAGAAAACGATCCTTGGTCACTGATGCGTTGTGTTGACCCTTACGGTCCGATATAATGGCATCGAGGCCAGAAAATCTGGAGTGTCGTGGACGCCACTCAACGTACGTTTCTTATCTCGAAATAGAGAGGGTATGGATTTACGAGCGGTATCACGCAGTTATTGATGTGCGTAGATGTTAAACTCGTCAAGTTTTTGTGAAGCGATTATTAAATAACGCAACTGTAATCGTGACCAAACGACTGCATGTGAAGCATTTCGTTTCGATGCCTCTCGTGCAGAATGACATTTAAAAAGGCAGAATTTGGTTGCGCTGCGGTTATATACGTAAATTTTGTTAGTATAGAAGTAAAATTTTGCTGTTAGATCGATGATGCACTTTTTGATATAGGTGCTTTAGACGTCAGCTGTAGCGGGGCTACACACCTCCTGAAGTCAGAGGAAGACCTAGTGCTCAACGAGCAATATTAGTTCCAAAAGACTAGACTCTAGGCATCTACAAGCGTAAAGCGTAAGGTTCCTGTTCCAGGGGACCGATCGATTTAATGAATCTACAGAACTTAGTGCTCAAGAGTAGCTACCTTAGGGAAGTGACGCTAACTCTTAACTATCAACGATAAGAGACGCCTCGCAAGGCACGTGTCTTAGACAAGATCAAAAGGGGAACTGAAATTTATTTACGTTTAGCTCTACAGAATAATTTAATTCTAATATTACCTAATCGAGGCACTCACGTCCTAAAATGTAGCTTCAAGATCTTCCTTTCTTGTAGCAGATACCCGTCATCCCCTCTAATCCATTAAGATATTCTATACCTCTTTCGGTTAGATACCATACCGTGTGTTTAAAACACAGGGTACCGAGTATTCTTTGATGTGCAATTCCTTTACATCAGCATTAGTCAGGACATCAGCAGTCAAAGACAATGAGGAAACTCCAGCAGTACAGATCGACTGTTCGAGTTCACATCATTTCATTGGCTAAATAGTAGGTGTTTGTACGGTAATTAATATACCGTTGCACAGGATACAGTGGGCTGATCGCTCACCTAAATTTAGGGGATCAAGCTTTAATTCTCGCCCTTTTAAATTAAAAATCTAGTTCATAAAATTAATTTAAGCTTGGTATGTTCACGTACCTTGCACTTAATCATAAATAGCTTTACCTACAGGTTTGCAAAAATGCCTTTTAACAATGAAAAGGATATGTATACTATATGGCACTTAGTACGACGTGTAGGGTACACCTAGCATTTGTTTGCAGACACATGCTAATGACG